CTTAGGAAACAAAACTTCAAGACCACGGCCACACAGCCCGGAAGACCCACACCAGCCTACATAGATCTTTGCTGATCCCCAAAGGATATAGTGGTCTTCTTAAGGGAAAAAAACAAACATAGGACTAAGAATCAGAGATTTTGTTTGTTTTAACTCTTTAAAAAGTGCTGGATTCTCTGCTTTGCAAATTTAATACACAGAAGGTTTGTAATAAAAGGGAAGTAAATGCATTTTAATCTTTAAAATGACCCCAATGTTATTAAATATATGGGGGGTAAGCATATTAATTGTGTTTAATTAATGTTCTAGACACCACCTAGTTTTTGGAATGTAGCCCCCAACATCCTCTCAGCCCTGCTTCTCACCCAAATCTGTTTACATTCTGGCAGAAGCCAAATCTTAAGGTCACCTGACATGTTGCAGAGAAAATTCCATACCAATGGATGCTGGAAGGATCCTCACAGACCACAAAACTTCTTAAAACATTTCCCACAAAGCATTTTAGAATGTGTGACCTATTAAACTGTGATATCCAAGTCAATCAGCTGAAAACAGACTTTGCTACAATTATGTCTTGGTACTTTCTAAATTTTCCATTGTTCACTGATAGCATATAGGGAAAAGAGCCTAACAATTCTGTCCTCTTCTCTAAAGCCTTTTAAGGAACCCTTGCTTGCTAATCAGGACTAGAGATTATCTCTGTTGGAAAAGAGACGTTTTAAAAAAGCTACAGTTCCTATTGAAGTTAAGAACATGCCAAGCTCAACACTGGTGTAATATGCACATTGCTGTTGGTTTTGTGTTATCAAGTCATGACTTTCCTGTGAAAGATTTTCCTTTTCTCCACCTACTGCTTTGTCCCAGTAGGATGGCAGCTGGATGCCTCTCCCAATTCCTTATCAGAATCACAGAATCTTTAGCCCTTGCCAACATTTGTTTTCTGGTTGCCTTTCTGTTGTCATTCCATCCCACTCCACCCTCTGCTGCTAATGGTCAAGCATGTTCTTCTGTTCCTGATCGTGTAAATCATAAGCACATGTATTTCCAGTCAGTTCTGTGGGGATAGTATTTCATTCATGAGACTTTAGAAAGACATCTTAGTAGTTTTCCTGTAGTTTTTTTCAGTAAAATCCTAAGCCTGTCATTGAAATCACAATGTATAACTTCTCTCCCATTTTCTCTTCTGTCTAGTATTCTCCAAGTATGCGAGCCACCTACCTTTCGGTTAATGATGATTACCGGAGACAGCCTAGCAACGAATTTCCAGCCTAGCACTCAAATTGTAGAGAAGAACCCACCCACGATGCTATAGTGAAACCCAAAGTAACTGAAGGCACATGGACTGCTGGGAATGAGATTGCCTCCCTAGGAAAATGGTCAGGTGTTCAAAGATATTCAAAACAGAAATCAATCAGCTGAAGAAAATTCCTGCTGGTGATCCAGATACTTTTCAAGGATTGTCCTGTGAGCTTGACTGGCAGCTTTTCTTCTTCCAATATTAAGTCTTCCTCTGTTGCAGGCAGAGTGGTACCCAGGGCCTCCATCCAAAGAGCTAACTGGCCAGAAGTTTTCTCCTTGATTTCCTGCCACTAGTGCATTGTCTTCCCTAACCTTTGTTGTTATTTTATTGGGGAAGCAGGGAGTTGTGAAATTAGGATTTGGCCTGTCATAGATTTGCAGTTAGGCTATGAGCTCCTGTTTCCTTTTCCTCTGCACCAACTTTGGGGCAATTTTGTCTGTTGATGGGGTGATTCAGTCTTCCTTTTTATTTTATTAGGGCAGATAATAAGACCAGTACACTGTATAAGTAAAGTGAACACTGACACATGGTGTACAATGATAACCTCAGAAAAATGGGGAAGGGGCTTGCCATGAAAGAAGATGCTCTCCACTTCTGAATCACATGCAATACTGATAAGAAGAGTGAATTTTTGGTGTCCTCTGAAGAGGCCTCTGCACAGAACCTGTTGTTGTCTTGGCACTATATCATCCATCATTCCTTTTGATAGAACCTGTTTGGTATTTTATGATACAAAATCCATGCACAGTGTTCCCACTGGTCATTCACTCCTTTGCACCAAGAACTGACATGAACTTCACCAACTCTTGTTATGGTGGCCTCAGGTATTATTTAGAACAAACAACTTTTTTGTTCTATTATGTACTTTTTTTTTTTTTGGTTTGTCTATTTCTTAGTCTCTGTTTTATATCAGCTATCCAAAAGACATAATTGTGTGTGTGTGTGTGTGTGTGTTTATAGGTTTCTGTTATTAAGGATTATATCTTTTTTATGTACTTTGCAAGCCAACTTCTGTTTTTTGCACTGATTTTTTTTTCTCAAAAGGGGGAATGAAGGCAAAAGCAAAATTAACTTTCCAAGATAGTATATTTGTATGGCAAGCACATATTCAAGAATACATTTTTCTTACTATGTTAGGTAATCAAAAATACCAGGGAACATTGGATTGGACTGGATTGGCTATGCTAATATGCTGGTAAAGTTGAAAAGGTGGCAGTACAGTTTCTCCTGAGTAATGCCTTGCTTTCTCCATCCACGAGAGGACTGTAGTAACAGTAAATTAGGAACTGTTCATCACTGCCATGTTTACTTGCACAACTTTGGCTCTTGGCACAGACAGCAGGGTCAGTCCTACCATTGGGCAGAGTGAGGCAAGTTTCGGGTTCCCCAAATCAAGAGCAAGTCTCCAGTCCCCAACTTCACACAGCTTGACTGGACCACTAGGCCTGAACTCAGACTAAGCAGTCAGTTGCCCTCTCTCACTGTGAGGGTATGGTTTCCTTCTTATAGCCATTGCAGTTTAAACCCACTGCTATTCTTTCTGCTTTTCACCCTGCACTTCGTGGCCTTGAAGTAGAACAGTGGTTGACATAACTGAGACATCTGCCCTGAGAACTGCTGGCTCTCATTTTATCTTAGCCATTGGGAGATGAGCGATGACAAAGTGTTGGAGGATAAAACTCTACCATGCAGCCTGTCCTTTGTCTCATCAGCCATGTCCGATTACCAGTGTTAAGATTCCTGTTCTAGTCCAGTTGTCATCTGTATGAGCAATCGCAGGCAGGAGGTAATGTCATGTCTTTCCCTCAGGTAGCAAAGATCTTGTGCGCTTTTCTGAACCAGAATCTGATTCTTGTCATCTACTACTGGAGAGTAGAAGTAAAGGAAATAACTTTTTGACAGTAGGGAGTCCTAGGAGACGAGAGGTATTGAAGGAAGAGAATCAAAGTACAGTATGTCACATTGCATCAAAGCCTCTTACAGGTCTGATTTCAGCTTTTGTCAAAAGCAACTCCTTTTACAGTTAACAAGTTACATTTTCTTAGGTTATGCTAAATTTTCCCAAATGAGTTACCTTACCTTTTTATACTTCGGCATAGTTAGAAGTGAAAGCATTCTCTTGGAAGCATAACCAGGTGGGTCTCCCCAGCTAAGTTCAAAGAACTCAGAATATCTTCACAGGCTGCTGAAGATGCATCTTTCCAAGTGGTATCAACTTGGGGTTGAATGCACCTCATTCAGAATTGTCTCTGACAACTGCTATAGAAAGGATAATAACACTGCTAAAAACTGCAAAAGTAGAGAGTTGCCCTCCAAAATGCATAATGTGACATGAAGATTTTTAATTACTTGACAGCAATTACTTACTGTGTCTTTTTATCAAGGATAATTGTACCTATCATGTATGAAAATAGAATTTATACATTCATCTTATGTGTGACTAGCTACATCTTTAAGGCAGAGAGGGAGGAGAATCTTGATTTTATGCTATAGATCATGTTATTGATAACAATACAATTAAAATTGTTTTTTTTAAAAAACAAAAATGCATGTGAATTAACTATCACAAGCTACTTCAGAGCTGTGCCTGATTTATATGTACTGATAATAAACACTTATACTAAAAGATGAGCTTCATTTTCCAGCTTTTTAGTTTCTTTTTTAATTTCAATCGTTTTCAATGCAGAGCTTTGTGTTGGGGATTAGTTATTATTAGATAGACTTTAAGTGCTACAAATTGCAAAATGCAATTTGCAAAAACAAAATGAAGTAGCATTAGTAAATGCTCATATTATTTTAATTATTTTATCAAATAAAATAGTCATGTATGAAATTGTAAATCTGAAAAAAAAAATCAGAAAGGCAAGCATATATAACCAAAGCAGATCCTTCTTAAGAAGATATCTGTAATATATCGAATTCATACAGTAATCAGGGCCTACCCAAAAAAAGACCCGCCTTGATTTATAAAATAGCTTACTAAACATTAGTTTAAATCTGCAGTGAGCATAAATTGTCAATCAGTAAGTCTAATTGTCTTTCAGACTCTCAAACCGATTCAATACACTTTGGGGACAACAATAGAACATTAAGATTATTTCTGTTCTTTTATGAGGAAAATTTAAAGTGAACAGCAGAATTTAAATCTTGGTCAGACAAATTGAAAATATCTGAATTGTACTTCATGATCATCATACCCACCTTCATAATACTGAAGCTTGATAAATGCAAATTTACTGTGTCTCAGCTGGCCTCTCCAATTTGATCAGGTACTGTGGTTTCAATATGGGTTCCAGTTCTCTTTTCTAAAAGCAACCTGGCATTACTTATGGTACCTAACATTTTAAATATATATATATTTCCGCTGGCCCTTGTCACTAAAGGTATAATGTTATGTTTGTACTGTATCACCTAGCCTTGCCCAAAATGGACAATGTGTGATTAGTTTCTTAATGATGACAAACCCCTACTATATCAGCTGACTTGATGTAATGATGCTTACTGACACAATCACTTGATACAGTCTTCCCTGGACCAAACCATTTCAGGCAGTGAGGGTACATGTATAAATGTTTCTCTGCAAAAAAAATAGCCACACACAAATACACTAGCCTTCCAGAGAAACAATCAGAGTCTCTTTGATTTAGTCACTGGGTTCTCACACTGTTAGGCTAAAATGGGATTGGCTAGTTTATGGTTCAGCTGGCTGCAGGGATCTAAGCATTGTTTCAGCATTCATGGAATCCAGGCCATCAAGAGACCCCATAATTTGGTGGTTTCGGTATAGCGTGTTATGTGAACAGAGTGACGGTTTTATTTACCTGGGGTATAGCATGTTCTGTGAATGCAGACAATATTCTGTACTTGGGGATAAGCAAACAAGAGTCACTTGTTGGCAGTTATCTTTGGAACAATGGGCTTTTAAGCAGATTCTTCAATCTGAGAGAAGAGTGCCCCCTTACTGCAAAAGCTGTCCTTGCATTAAATGTTCAAGTCTTAGTGTCTATAACCTGTATCAGAACATCCACAACAGGCAAGCATTAGGGTAGCATTTCCACCAGCTTGGGCTCTGAGCTCACAGCAAGAGCACACAGCATTATACACGTGAATCACAGGCGGTCTAAAGAACATGAAATACAGGGAAGCAGCTAGCTGGTGTCGCACAGCTCAAGCTGCTGCTGAAGCAAATTTATGTTTTCCAAAAGCATTGCTTGCCCACAGTCTCTAATAAAACCAAGATACAAGTTATAGGGGAGTCCTAAAAGGTGACTCATGCTTAGTCTCTGCCATCTATTGAAATTACGGCAACCCATATTTCCAATTAATAGAAATTCACTCTTAGAATCCAGCCATCTTTTTATGACTGAGTTTAGGATGATTAAAAATTTTCCAGGATTCAAACCTCAGTGTGATTCTTTCTCCAGAGACAGATGACATGGGAATGCGGTTTGGAAGGCAATTGTGTAAGGAAGTAACAATACAATGATGCTAATGACAAGACTAATCAAGATACAGCTCCATCCCATG